CCTCATGGGCACCTGGGCACAGGCTTCCCTCACACTGAGCAGGGTTACCCACCCCCCCAGCTTCTGGGGCTCCAGGGTTTAACAGCCAACTCACAAGAGCAGCGTGTGTCCCAGCGTAGACCTCAGGCGCCGCCCGCGGGTCCAGAGCACTCCAGGCACACATGCACCTTGGCCATAACACAGACAAGTCCAGGGCCCACCTCCTGCCAAGTGTGGTGGGGCACCTTGCCAACAGGGGGTACAGCCACAGCCCCCTGGTAGCATAGGCACAGGCAGCAACCCCCAACCACATGTTGCTCTTTGGAGTGAGGCATCAGGACAGGGGGAACCTAGGGAGTCAGGCCCCCTCAACAGGAACACATGAGGAAAACAGGCCCCAAGCCACTGGGGCAACGCCACGGAGGCCACAGGCAGGAGCTCAGAGGCATGGAAGCCCCCCCTCCAACCCCAGATAGCCCAAGCCCCCATCTCTTCCTAGCCCTGCTACACCACAGTCAGCCTAGGGAACAGCCCCCCAAACCATGGGCTTGGGTACGAGGCCTGGCCTCACCACAGCTCGGGGCTCAGGGGAGCCAGTTCTGCACCTGCATTTGTGCTTGAGAACACCATGTAGCCCCACAGGGGCCACCGCAGACAGCACACCCTCTTAAGAGGGGTGGTGGTATGGGCTGCAGCTCAGGTCCCAGCAGCTTAGGACAACATGAGGCCCCTTTGCTCTATTCCAGGCAGGAGCCCATGGCTCACTTAGTATTGACCAGGGGCCCCACATATGGGACACAGTGTAGGCACAACCCACTGCACCCGCAACCAGGTCTTGGGGAGCCTGCAGGCAACATGGAGAGCTGCCCCGTAAGCACCCGCCCCCAGTGCTGCTCCCAGACCAAAGCACTCACCCACAGCCCCCGTGGCCTCTCAGAGCCACCTGGACCACGCTTGCCGCGGTGCTTGTTCCCCACTTGCCACGAGTCCATCTGCCCCGGCAGTCTCACCCCACTGATGAGCAGAGGCAACCCCCACAGGGAGCACACAGGCATAGCAGAGTCAGCCCAGCCCACACCATTGCTTGGGGTTAGGGTTATCATAGCAAGTAAAAAGGGCACTTTCTAAGGTGCCATAGGAGATGCAAGGGCCTGCAGAGAGGAGCCACCACCCCTCAGAGCCCACCACTGACAGACCAGGCCATGGCCCCCAGCCCCCCTCAACATGGGCAAGGCACCCCTGCCACCACTGCAATGGGGCTGAAGCTAAACACTCTTCCAGGGGCAGTCCAGTAAGGGCAGCACAACCCTGGGGCACACAGCACCAGGGGACAGAGCCACTGAGCTGGATGGGGCCAAGCCCTGGCATCAGCCCTCCATGACTCCAGGTGCCCTCTCGTGGAGGCTTCAGCAACACCAGCCCTGCAGGCACAAGCAAGGGCTCCCACAGCCACCCCCATGGTTGGCCAGCCTCTAAAGGCAGCTGGAGCCTGAAGCTGCCCCAGCACCTCTGGGGCATTGCCTGTCATGGCCCTCCACTGTCTTGAGAGCCGGAATCCCATGTCCAGGCTGCAGCACTCACAGGGGGCAAGATGCCACCCCAGGGGCCTTGTATACAGGGCTCAGCCAGCACTTGATGTGCATCAGGGAAGAGGAACAGCCATCTGGGGGCTCAGAGCTTTCTCTTCCTCTTTACCTAACAGCCCCCACTATGTGACAGCAGCACTGACCCATGCACACAAGGCAGGGCTCAGCGCACAGCCAACTGCTTGGACAAGAGCCTTTGGCAGTTCAAGCACCCCCACTGCCCACCCAAACTCAGGGAGGCTGCAAACCTCAGTGATGGGGGCAGTGACCCATCAGGCAACACAACACTCAGTCACCATGAGCTGGATTTCCACCTGCCCACCAGGGGCACCTCCCCTATAGGGCCCAGTGGAGGGCTCCACTCTACAACCAGCCACACAGGACCCTAAGGGCCCCAGCTCCTGGGGCAAGCAGTACCATGTGGGAGATGGGTGCTGCTGGCCACCACCCAGAACTCCAGGCCTCTGACACTTGCAGGCAACACAGGTTCAGCCAACCCCAGGCCCCCATGGACCTCCAGTTACCACCTTTGCTGGATCTACTGTGACACTATAGCCCCCATGGGGCTGTGGTGGCCTGGGCACTGCCCACAGGCAGGCACTCCTGGAGCCCCACCAGCACCAGCTGCCCCCACAGGCCTCTCTTGCACACTGGAGCTGGCAACATGGGGCTCCTCCTTTCTCTGGCATCTCCTGCTCCAGCAGCACCACACAAAGGCTGCCCTCTAGCCCAAAAACAGCCCCATGGGTCCAGGTGGCTCAACACACTGGCTCTTTCCAAAGTGAGGGCTCCAGGTAGCATGACACCCCACTGAGGGTGTATCCAGCAGCCACACCAACCATGAGCTGCCCAGCTAGCAGCCACAGGTACCCACAGCCTGAGGGCCAAAAAGACTGACCCCAAGCACAAGACTTACCTCAGGTCCCCCTACAGCTTGAGTGCTCGGTGAACATCAGTTGTAGAACACAAGGGCCCTCTTCACTGCATCCCAGGTGGATAGTTGCCTTGGGAGGGAGCCCAGAGACCCTGGCACAGTGTAAGCCAAGAGCCAGGTAGTGGCCAGGGCAGCACAGAGTATGGCCAGAGAAGACCAAGACAAGAAAGGCCACAGAGGCCCGGAGGGCCCAACTCTGAGGCTGTATATGCACAGGGGGGTCAGCTCATGACATTGGCAACTGTATGACTGACCCTCCAGGAGGGGAGGGCAAGCTCCCTGAGGAGCCACACCACTGAGGTGTGCAGCTGTGGACACTCCATCAACCCCAACTTGGTCTGAGGCCAGCACCACAGCAGGCAGGGCCACAGGGACACAAGGCCAGGGCAGCACCCGCTGCTCCTTTCAGGGCATCAGAACAGCGAGGCACACTGGGGGCCAGGCCCTGTAGACAAGCAAACAGGAGCACAGAAGAGGAGCAAGTCCTGAGCCATTGGGGCACACAGTAGAGGCCACAGGCAGGGGCTGAGGGCCCTGGAGCACACAGAGGCATAGCCGCAGAAAACATGCACCCGCCAGGACACCCGCCTCCTCCCAGCCCCAGTGCTCCACATTCACAGCATGGGGAGCAGCCACCAACAAGGGTGTTGGCGCAAGGTCTGACCCAGCAGCAGCCTCAGGCCGGAGGCATTTTCTCTACAAGTCCGTTTTTGCTTGAGCCCGCCTTGTGGGCACAGGGTTCCACATCTGACAAGGCGCCCCTCACAGGAAGGGCTGGTGCAGGCCCCAGGGCTCACCATAGCAGTTGGGGGGCTAAGTGTTATCCTAGTCTTGAAACAAGACTTCCAACCCCACTGGGAGTGCCCCCCTCACCAGCTCGAGGTGTGGGGTGCGTTGTGGGTGCAGTGTTTGCATTCTGCGTGACGCACCACTACCCTGATCAGGTTTTGGGGAACGTGCAGGAAACTCACAGCCCTGCCGGGCAGCACCCCCAGCTACTCCAAGATGGAGACGCTTATTGCAGACTCCGCGGCTTCTCAGAGGCTGAGCACCGGTCTGGCCATGGCGCCTGTTGCCCGCTTGGCACACTCACCCCGCCTTTGGGCAGCGGCAGCACCCGCCGGGAGACCGTGTGTGGCAGCCGGCTGTGCTTCCACCGTGGGCGGGTGCTGCTGCGGCGCGCGGTGCGGAGCTCTGAGACACCATAGCGAGGGCGCGGGTTTGCGGAGACGCCCGAAAACGGACACCGGCGAGGGCACGCGCGGGGTTCCGCCCCAAGAGAGCAGCCGCTGATACTCTGGCGGCAAAAAGCGCCGATTTGGGGCCAGAAAAACCTCAGCGCCCAGGGGCGGGGCCGAGCCCGCGGGCCCCTGGAGCTGCGGCCCGAACCCCGGCCCCTTTGCCCCGCGCGACCCCTTTGCCGCCTCCCCGCACGACCCCTTTGCCACCTCCCCGGTGTGCGCGGGGGCTTCTGGTCGACCTCGGGCCAGAGGAGGAGCCGGGGCCCCGCGGCGGGGCCACCCCAGCCTCGGCCGTCTTGGGGGACTCTCCGCACTTGGGGCGCTGCCGGCCCGGCTCCCCCCGCGGCCCTCCCCCAGGGCGGCTCCGGCCCGACCCCGCCGGAGACCCGAGTCCTGAGACTCCGGGATCCTGGGATCCGGCCCCGGGCCCCTGGCTTCAGCCCACGCGCCGGCCCCGATTCGCGGCCCCGGCCCCGGTCTTTCCGCGGGTTCGGCGCGAAGCTCGCACCTCGCGGGTCCCGCCCGCCCCCGCCCGCGCGACAGCCCCGGCGCCCGCCCCCCGCGACAGCGCCCGCCCCAGGTCCCCGGCCGGCTGCGACGAGTTCGCGGGGGGCTCGGCCCCCGCCCCCCCTCACTCGCGGATGCTGTGCCGGCTCCGGCTCCAGACACCCCAGGCTCGCGGCTCGCGGCCTCGTCCCCGTTCAGGCGCCGCCCCCACCCGCAGCACTCGGCCCCAGCCCCCGGCCCGACCCTAGGGTCACGGACCCCGCTTGATTCGCGGCCCCCGACCCCGCGGCTCCTGCGGGAGACTTGGGGTGAACAGCGGCGGCATCTCCTACCTCCGGGCGCGGCAGCGGGGCTGGACCCCGGTGGTCCCTCACACCCCCGGGGCTCCCTCCCCCGGACGGTACGCGGCAGTCGGGCCGACGGAGATGCAGCCCCGGGCGCGGGACAGCCGCTGCCTCCCCCGGGACCCTCCCGCAGAGGTGCGCCCCGCGCTGTGCAGGTCCCGGTGGCCTGCGGGAGGAGGCGCTGCCCCCGCGGAGAGCTGGTCGACCCGCGCTGCGCGCAGCCCCGGCGAGCTCGCTGCCTGGCCTCGTACAGCTGCGCTCACAATCCCCCGGCGTCGGACGCCTCGCGCGCAGCCCGCCCGACCGGCCCGTCCCGCCCGCGCGCCCCGGCCTCCCGGAACCGCGCGCCGGGCGCCGCCGCCAAATCCACCCCCTTCGCGGGTGGGCGTGGGGGGTGGGCAGGCGCCGTCTACGCGGCCGTCAGGGGGCGCCCACGCCCCCCACTCCAGCCCGGCTCCGCCTCGCGCGCGGCTCTAGCTGGTCCCAGCGGCCGCGCTCCCGGGGAGACGCCGAGACCGGGCGGCCGAGGCGAGGCGGTGGGGTCGGCGCGCACCAGCACGAGCCACGCGAGGACGCAGGACACGACCCAATGGCCTCGGACCTGGGAAGCGGGGGCGGAGGCGGCGGGGAGTCCCTTCCCCGTCGGCAGGAATTGGGGAGCGGGTGTCTGGCGCCCGCCTGGGGGCTGGGGGCGGCCCCGAGGTCAGGCTTCTTGCTGGGCGGCCGCCGGCGGTGGCCTCGGGCCCTCCCCTGGGGTCGCTCCGCCTGCGCGGCCACCTTTGCGCGCGCGCCTCTGGGGACAGGGCCGCCCTCCGCGCCCGCCGGTGTCCTCAAGGCTCGGCTCAGCTGGGGGTACCAGGACCCTCCTCTGACGCCGAGCCTCGCAGCTGCGCGCACGGTCCTGGGGAGGCTCCCCGGCGGGGCGGCTCCTTGGGGCCCTCCCAGCCGGCTACTGTGTGCCAATGGCCGGGCGCAGGAAAGAACCGGGACGCTTGCCTTCTGACTTGGAGGGCCCCCAGGGCTAGTGCTGTGGATGCTCACCTGCATCCTTTCACCCCAGGACTTATTCTTCCTGAGGGCCCACTGTGTGCTGAAGCCCGGGTGACATCCAGAGTACAGGGGAGATTCAGGCCCTGGGCACCAGGGCCAGGCCAGGGCTTTCCCCACTTACTCATTTCCCCTGATGTTTTCTGAGGACCTACTGTGTGCCAGGGCCAGTGCAGGTGATGTTAGAACGGAAGCAAAAAGTCCAACAGTCCCTGGTTCCTTGGCTGAGCTGAGCTGAGCTGAGTGGCCTCCCCGGTCTGGACTCTCCTCCTCCAGATATACACCCGCAGATCCCTGGTGCTTAACTTATTTTCAAATAAATCATGTTTTTCAAACTTTTAGGGGTGGAACAAGGGAACCTGAATATGGATTGTACAGGGATAAGAAGAGATTCATTCTGTTGGGATGACGTTGCGGTTGTTTAGGAGATGATTTTGGTTAGACACGCAAGCAAAGGTATTTACCACCGAAGCGAGGTCAGATCTTATAATTTATTTCAAAATAAATTTGGAAACAGACATTTCCATGACCTATTTTAAAATCATTTATCTGTTATAAAGCCTAGTAAACTCTTGTTTTTCTTGGTAATGTTTTAAATTTCAAAGATGTTGGATTAGGGAATGCACCACACTTTACACTTTTCAGTATAATTGGAAAATCTCGTTTTTTTAAACGTGGGATTTTTGTGTAGACCTGTTGTCCTAGACACAGGGCAGTTCGTCAGTTGACGTTGTGCCCAGACTGTGGGCACCTCGGGGTGCCCCATGTGTAGGGTGTCAGAGAATGAACGGGATCCCAGGGGCCGCCCCTGGGGGGGCACATTCAGGCAAATGAGCCAATATTCACACGAACCCTCGCTTACCCGGACTTACGGGGAAATAGGGCAGAGGCGGCCAGGGGACCACAGACATGGTGCCTGGGGGGGCCCTGGGAGGACTCTGGGGGGACTCGGTGCCTCTGAGGGGGACTTAGCACCTGGTGGGAGCTCAGTGCCCGGGGAGGGGTGGCTGGTTATTTTTAGACTGCACAAGTTGCGCAGCACGGGGCTGTGACCGGTGAGATGATGTTGGGGTCCTGCTGTGATTATGGCTCCGAGGGAGGCCGCGGCGGACCTGCGCCCAGTGGGCCACCGGTGCTGCGGCAGCGGGGCGCCCCGAAGGCGGCGGCTTCTGGAAGGGGGGGGGTCCTTCGGTGTGGTGCCGCTGAGCCTGGAGGGCCGAACCCCCCCCCGCGCCCCCAGGGCTTCCCGACTCCGCCGCCATGCTGTCTTCACCCTCCAGCCCGCGGGAGGTGCCGGCGCGGCCAGTCGCTCCGCCTCGGGGCCGCAGCCCGTGCGTCCCGTCCCGCTCCCGGCGGCTCCGCCGCAGTCTCGGTTCCGGACCTGCAGGGCAGAAAAGGGAAACCCGAGCCGGTGCCCTTCGTGCCGGGAGCAGCAGCTTCGTGGGGAGCTGGCGGAGCGGGGGCGCGCGCAGGGAGGCGGGGCCCTGGCCGGGGCAGGGCGGGGCGGGGCGGGGCGGGGCGGGGCGGCGAGGGGAGCGGGGAGCGGGGCCCAGGCCCGGGCAGGGCGGCGCCGGGTAGCGGCGGCCACGCGGGCGAGGGTCAGATCGCGCAGGGCCCCGGGCGCTGCGGGCGCGGGCCGGTGTGGGCCCCCCCCGTACTGGGGTCCCCGCGCCCTCCTGCTGCACCCCTCTCCTCCCGGGGGAAGCAGCGGGCGTCGGGGAGAGGACTGACGGACGGGCGGGCGGGCGGGGGAGGGGAGGAAGGGGCTGGCTTGGGGGTCGCCCCGCCTCTGCACCCCGAGGGAACAGACGCGCACTCGCGCAGCCGCGCCCTCCCCGTCCGGGTCCCGCGCCGCGGGATAGGGACGGCCTCCGCGTGGCGCGGCGAGTTCGGGCCGCTTCTCCTCGGCCCGGAGACCCCAGTCCCGGCGCGTGGCCGGGGGGTGGGGGGCGAGGCATCCAGGAGGCGCCCTTGCCCGGGAACTACAACATCCAAGGCGCCGCGCCCGCCGAGACTACCACTCCCAGAAGCCCGAGGCGGGCCGGGAGCGGGGCGTGTCCGCGGGGGCGGGGCCTGGGGCGGGGCCCGCGCGAGGACCAGAGAGGCGGAGGCGCAGACCCCGAGTCACACAGCGGCCCTCGGCGCCCTCCGCCCGACAGACGCGGCCCTCGCGCGCCCCAGCTGCGCGTCCAGCCCTCGCCGGTCACCTCGCGGGCTTGGCCGATTCCCCACCGCTGGGACGAGCGATTTCCCCGCAAACGTCGGGGGCTCCCCAGTTCGAGCACGGGTGACGATGACAGACCCGCCCGCGCTCCGACGCCTGCAGCCCCGCACGCTTGGCTCGCCGCCAGCGGGACCCCGAGGGGGCAGAATAGGGGGGCGCCGGGGGTCTCCGGGGGAAGAAGCGCCCAGGGGTGCCCGGGAACCGTCTCGATGCGCAGCGAGCTCTCGCCCCGCCGCCCCCTCCTTCCCGCGCCCGCCGCGGGGTCTGTCCTGGGGACGGGGCGGCGCCTTCAGGGACTGGCCCACGCGGGGAGCGCGGCGTCTGTGCCGAGAAGCTTCTTCCCCGGCGAGCCCCAGGGTCCCCGCGGGCCTCCACTGACGGGACGAGGCCACCGGCGGGCCGGGGTCGCCCTCGAGACGGACTGACGGACACGAGCGCAGCCGCCGCCGCCGCCCAGACCGAGTCCACTAGTGGGACCGGAGCCTGAGCAAGTGCGCGGGACCCCCCAGGCTCAGGAGGCCGGGCAGGAGGGGCGAGGGGTGCAGGGAAGGTCCGCGGGCGCGCGCGGGCTCTCGGCACAGTCACCAGGTCATGTTGGGGCGCGGAGGCACCAGAGGCGGGCGGGTCAGGCTCCTCGGCCGGGCGGGCGCTGCGTCGGGGACGAAAGTGCAGCCGTGCCCTCAGCTCAGTTTTCCGGGGCCAATAGTCGGGGCTGGGAGGCTCGAGGCCCCCGAGCCCGGAAAGCAGGGGAGCCCCTCCCCGGAGCCCCGCCCTGGACGCCGAGGGCCGCGCTGGGCAGGACGCTCTCCCCGGACGCGGCTCCGTGGGCGCGAAAGGGCCGCGACCCCCCCCCCCGAGACCGGGGCCACAGGTGCAGGTGACCCCTTGGACTCACTTCCTGCCCTGGGGGGGAGCCTGAACCCCGCCTCTGTGGGCCCCCACACGGAAGGAACCGGCGCCAGATGTGCGGCTGGAGCAGGAGACGCGAGAGAGGCTGCGTGGAGGGGCCTCCCCAACCGCCCTCCGCGTCCCCCCTTCTCCCCATCCTCTCCGCTCACCAGTGGCTCCCCAAGGCCGACAGGGCCCCCCAGCGCGCCCCTCTCGGGCAGCGCGCCGGGTCCCGCACCTGGAGACTCAGGAGGCGGCGGGGGCCCGCGGCGGGAGCAGAGGCGCTTCCTGGCCGCGCTCACCGAGTCCGGCAAGGAGAGCGGAGCGGGCGGGGATGCTGCGTCCTTCTCGGGGCCGTGGACTCTCTGGCCGGGCCGCGGTGGGGCTGGCGAGGCGGGGACGGGGCCACGCGCAGGGAACTCGGGCCGGCGGGGAAGGGCTGGACGCGGGGGCTCCGGGGCTTGTTGGCCGGGAGGAGCGCAGGGGCGGGCCCATCCCTGAGCGTGCTGGACTGTTGACTCTCCCTGTGGTGTCACAGTGCGCTCCCTGCAGGTGTTCACCTTGTGTTCTCCTCACGGGTGAGGGGTAAGGAGAGGGCATGTCATTAATATGTTTCTTCCGTGGTGGGATCACAGCACTGCCAGGATTCTCCACTTTCAACATTTAACACTAACATAAGGACTTTCCACGCCATTAAAGACTGTTCAGTGTTACTGTATCTAGCTTTTACATTTAATTTTGTGTATATTGGGGGTTTTTATTTGGATAGTTTTGAATCATTTTACTGTAAATAAAGTGTTATTGAACATTGTTACACATACAGATTTATCGGAATTTGAAAGCATTTCCTTAGGTCATTTCCAAAATTAAAATTACTATTTCCATTGAAAATGTATTTTAGGGCCTCCCCAGTGGCGCAGTGGGTTGGGCGCAGCCTGTGGAGCTGTCCGCAGCCTCCGCAGCGCCCGGTCAATCCCGCCGGCCTTGGAGCAGCCCACATGACGTGCAGACCCCTCGTGTCTCCCGGCTGCGCCCCTCAGCAGTGTGTTTCAGTCAGTTTGTCTGTTCTGCCCCCAACTCTGTCTCTGGTGAAACCTCTCTAACACAACGCCCATGTCTGGCTTACAACCCAGTTCTTGAGTGCATAAATAATCTTTTAAGATTTACTTATTTATGCACACAAGAACTGGGGTACAGGCCAGAGTTGTGGGGGGTGAGAGGATTCATCAGAGACAGAGTGGGGAACAGAACAGGCAGACTGACTGACTGAAATGCACTCTGAGGGGAGCAGCGGGCATGACACGAGAGGTCTGCTTTGCCATATGTGGAACCTTCTCTGGCCAGCCGGGATCGAACTGGTGCTGCAGAGGCTGTAGACAGCTTCACAGCGCTGTGCTCAACCGCCTACACCACCAGGGGAGGCCCTGTTTTATATACAATTCTTAACACATCTCGCTTTATTTGCATTTAGAGTTAGGACCTTCTACCTTTTGATTTTTAGATTGTGAGAGGTTATGGAAAAATTTCATCTTTATTTATCCCGCAGGCCCAGAGGTGATCTTTTTCCAAAGTCTGAGCCCTGAGCCATTGGGCGACAGAGTACCCATGGCCCCAGCAGGGGCACATTTGCAACTTGAAGCAAGCAGGGAGTAGAGAAGCAGGAGACTTCTAAGAGCTCACCTGGTCATCTGGGGGGCACAAGTCAGGCTCCTGGCCAGTCACTCCCTGAAACTTTTAGTCCACCCCCAGGCCTTGTCCCAACATAACTCCAGCTAATGAGCAGGTCACAGTGGGCTGGGGCAGAAGGCACAGGCAGGTCTGTTGCAAGCTCCAGGACTTCCAGCCTTTCACCGACAGTGTCTGCCGCAGCCAGACCCTAAAATATCCGAAAGTCATTAAAACAGCAAACAAGGTTGCTTGAATTTCTGGGAAAGATTTTTTTTAACCGTTGTTAAAAGTCCCCTTACCTGAAGCTGACATAAAAGCAAGGCGTGGGGCCTCTCTGATGGCGCAGGGATTAAGCACAGCACTGCGAAGCCATCTGCAGCCTCTGCTGCACGAGTTCCATCTGATGGAGGGCAAGAATGGAAAGACTGGAAAGGGAGGCCTCACGTGACTAAAACCTGACTCACGCAAGGAGGTGGGGGTCGAGGGGAATAACAGGACCATTAACCCAGCTGTGGAGGTCCGACCCTTAGACGCCAGTGCCTTGTCACAAGGCAGGAGACCCGAGCAGGATCTGAGATGCTCTAGGGAGTGGCGCACAGGCCTGAGGGGAAGGATATGGAGATTGGGCCCACCCTGGAATCTCTGGTCCCTTTCTAGTGTTGCCTGTTACCGACATCAGCAACAAGCAGCCACTCCACGGAGGAGTGACCCTCCCAAAGAGAAAAGGGCTGTATCAGGGCAGTCTCTGCACGGGCTCGGGGCAGCCGTCCATCTGCCCACCCGTGACTATGCAGGTGCCTCTTCTCACCAACTCTCTCCCTCCGCAGGGCAGCAGCCTCCTGCCTGCCGTGACCTGTCAAGGCCGCCCGCCTGCAACCATGCAGGCCTCTTTCAGCGAAACCTGTCCCTTTCCCTTTCCCTCATAAACCTGCCCTGTTTTTTGTTTTGCTTTTTTGTGGGACCCTCGCCAGCGGCCAGGGAACGAACAGGCGCTGCAGAGGCTGCGGGCAGCCCCTCAGCCCAGCGCTCAACCGCTGTGCCAGCAGGGGAGGCCCTAAATCTGCCCTTTAATGTAACTAGTGTCTCTGTCTCGTGGAGAAACGTGGCTGGGGAACTCGCTGTGTCCTGCTGTAATGGGAGCTCTGGGGGCACCTTTCCCAGAGTGACCCCCGGGACCCGCACACACTCTACAACCTACAACATTTTGGCGACCATGAAGGGACTCGTCACGTCATCTGGTGCCAACATCACATCCCCAGCCGGGAAGGTGACCCGCAGGGTGCCGCAGACCTCTCCTGTCTCCCCGCTGCTCCCCTCAGCAGTGGATTGCAGACAGTCCACCTGTTCTGTTCCCCACTCTGTCTCTGGTGAATCCCCTTACCCCCACCCCCGCACCTCTGGCTGCACCCCAGCTCTTATGTTCATAAGTAAAGAAATCTGTTTAAAAAAATAAGTAAAAATTGGCCTTCCTGGTGGCACAGGTGGTTGAGCGCCGCACTGTGAGGCTGTCCGCAGCCTCTGCAGTGCCGGTTCAATCCTGGTCGGCTGACGAGACTCCCACATGGCGCAACAGACCTCTCCTGTCTTGCCTGCTGCTCCCTTCAGCAGTGTATATTTCGTCAGTCTGCCTGTTCTGTTCCCCGCTCTGTCTCTGGTGAATCCTCTCACCCTCCAGTGCATCTGGCCTGTACCCTGGTTCTTGTATAAAAATAAATAAATCTTAAAAAAATTAAATAAAAGCACGACTAAAACATCATTTACCTGCAGATCTGGAAATGGATCCTAGTGCAAACATTACAAAGCAGCTGCTATTCAAAATACATTGTGAGAAAAATGAAGGCTCTCGGCTCCACATAGAATGTTTCTCATTGCACATCATGGTGCAGCACAATACACTTTGGCCCAGACTCTGACATCCCTGTGTCTGTCCTGTGGTTTGGTGTAATATTCAGCCTTGAGCCAGGAGCCTGTGTTTATTTTGGGGGCTCAGACGGGTCTCCTGGGGACTGTGCAATCTTGGCTGGCCTCTCTCTGCCTTTGGGTGGCCTCTCTCTGCCTTTGGATTGTTGAGCTCTATAGAGGATCTTCTACTGCCACTTTCACTTTAGTTGTCTGGTTCTACTTCCCTGCTCAGCTTTTTCTTTTTTCTTTTTTTTCTTTTCTCTTTAAATTATACAAGGGTTCTCTTTTAAACATTTCTTTCAGGGAAGATTTGTTAGTGGACCACTTCTTCAGCTTTTGTTTGGGAAGAACATTTTTACTCTCTTGTCTCTGTAGGAGAATCCTGCAGGTTAGGATATTTGTGACCCGTATATTTTATCTCTATTCTGAATGCGTTATTTCATCCTGAGACAGGGCAAGCTAGTGTTATTAGGCAGTTTCAGGGACAGTGCAGGAGGGGACCTCTGAAGAATTTAGGGAGGCTTCAGAGATAAGGACAACCAAGGGAAAGTAACTCATTCCACTAGGAAAAACAAACATCCCAAGACCAAGGACAACATTGTTAATGCTAGTCCTGGTTTCCTTCAGGTGGTAAAGGGAGGCGGAGATTGGAGAAATGGAGAATGGTTTAATTTATGGACACATTAGAAGGGCAGCTGTTTAACTTCAATGCAGGGATGCCCATCCAGAAGACTGGGCCATAAATTTAAAGATGCAACAAATGGGGAAAGAAAAGCTGTTAGATAAGGAAAGTAAAGATCCCCACTCAGTAGCAGATTAAGTGAGACAGCCGAGAACTAAGCAATCACAAAGAGACTGGTGGAGCTTTAGAATAATGAGGGAAATAAGGTATATATTCCCTGAGACACGACTCCACTTTGGCTTCCTTGCCCCTCCCAGGCCTGGTTCCCTGGCCTGGGAGTCCCACTTTATTTCTGCTCTTTTTCTCCTCAATAAACTTTTTCTTTCTATAAACAAATCTGCCTCTTCTCGCTTGCTTGCCTGAGCGTCTGCGAAGTTCCTGCTGCGGCTTCGTGAGACACCAACCCGTGGGGGTCTAGTGGCTGGGCTCAGCGCTGCCCTGCAGCCTGGGATCTGTTCCTGGCTGGGAGACTAGGCCTGACAATTCCGTATCAATCCCCTCCTTGCACTACAGTCCTCCAGAAATGTAAGTTGGGTCCATCCCCACATATGCACGGTCCATGACAGAAACTTGTTAAGAGGTGCTGGGATCTGGACTTCATCCTGGTGCGGTTACCTGAGCCTTCTGAAAGGATAACTCTACAAGACTTTCCATGAAAACCAGCATCAGGAACAACATTGGTACACTCTACCTATAGACAAGAGAGAGAGAAATTGGAGAAAGATGAAAATTTCCATAGAAAGCAGTCCGATAAATCCAGAAAAGAAGAAACTTATTATATAAGGAAAAGAGAGCCAAGATCACCTATTTTCTGGGGCTCAAGGACCATAGGGAAAGCTTTTGGTATGTGGACCTGGCAAGACTCTTGTGTATTGTTGGAGTGCTATGCAAGAAATCCCAGGTCCAGACATGCAAATGAGCCCTCTTACTTTCCTTTTGCTTTGTGAAATGAATGTGTATATTATTGTAAAATAGTCTCCTTTGTGGGCCTCCCCTGTGGTGCAGCGGTTGAGTGGGTTGTGAAGCTGCCGCCGCCTCCGCAGTGCTGGTTAATCTCCGGCTGCCAGAAGGGTCCCACATGGTGCGCAGACCTCTCCTGCCACCCGCTGCTCCCCTCAGCAGTGTACTTCCTCAGCCTGCTGTTCTCCTCCCCGCTCTGGTTCTGGTGAATTCTCTCACTCTCTCGTGCTTCTGACTGTACCCAGTGCCTGTATAAATAAATAAATAAATCTTAAAAATTAAT